ATGTGACTTTATGGCAATACGAAGGGTTAGTCTTGGAGGGGCCCACAAGTCCCTTAGCTGTCTCTTTCCACGTATCCCTACAGTGAGCGCCTGGAGCTCTGACGACTCCTCTTCCCTCACCGCCGGCAACCTTCTGCCTCTTCGCCCCGCCCATTGCTGCCTAGCCCCGCCCACTCCGCCCCCGCCCCGCCCCGCCCCGCCGTCCCTGGCACCTGCAGGAAGAGCTCGTAGAGAATCTCCTCCTGGACGCGGCTCTCCAGGTTCCCCACGAAAAGGGTGCGGTCGGGCCCCTCCGCGCGTTCTGAGGCGGCCATGACGTGGACAAGGAGCCCCCGCCTCAGGGAACAGCAGAGCTATGAGGAAGAGCGGGGAGAGCGAGGGAAGGGAGGGGCCGCGGCGAGCCCAGGGTTGCCAGGGGAGCCCGTAAGGCGACAGGGAGGCCACTCAGCGACACCTGGCGGCGCGCTTTACGGCAGGCTCCAAATCTCATCCGATTTACAGAAATAATCCAGTTTGAGACCATTTTAAGTGTCCTGGCTCAAGAGTAGGGAATCCTGGGAAGTGTACCTTGTTGTGGCACCAGAGCTCTGTCTGACGGAGAAGTTTAAATATCTCACAAAACTACAGTTCCCAGAATCCCCTAGCATTGAGCCAGAGAGCAATTAAAGCGGTCTCAGACTGGATTATTTCTGCAGTGTGTTTTGGAACTTGAGTTGTTGTGTCCCTTCAAGACGTTTCTGACTTATGGCGACCCTATTATGGGGTTTTCTTGGCAAGCTTCTTAGAGGGGGGCATCCTCTGAGGCTGAGAGAATGTGACTTGCCCAAGGTCACCCAGTGGGTTTCCATGGCTGACCAGGGATTCGAATCCTGGTCTCCAGAGTCATGGCCCAGTACTTAAACTACTATTCTATGCTGCCCCTCCACACTATGATGCTATAATTCAATTTACATGGATTTGTATTTTTATGGTGTTTCTCTATATTTATATTCAATTTGCCACTCCAAACCCACCCATTGGGGATTCGAACCCTGGTCTCCAAAGTCATAGTTCAACTCTCAAACCATTATTATTATTATTATTATATTTCCTGCCCTTTTCCCAAAACTAAGCTCAAGGTGGCTTAGAGTAGTAAAAAAACATTACTTTAGAAGCATACAAAAATGATACATTAAAATAGAATTAAATTATTACAATATTAATACAAAGTGCATGTTCAAAGAATGAACTATACCACACTAGCTTGCCTCACCAAACTACAGATCCCAGGTTTGTGTAGGATAGAGCCGTGGCCGTCATAATGGTGTCAAATTGCATTATTTCTAAAGCTGAGAGGGGAATGAAATATAGAAAGTACAAGTAATGGCTTGCTGTTGGTGTGTGCCTTCAAGTTGTTTCTGACTTATGACAGCCCTAAGTCATGGGGGTTTCTTGGTAAGTTTCTTCAGAAGGAGTTTGCCATTGCCATCCTCTGAGGCTGAGAGAATGTAACTTGCCCAAGGTCACCTAAGTGGGTTTCATGGCTGAGCTGAGAATCAAAGCCTGGTCTCCAGAGTCGTAGTCCAGTGCTCAAACCACTAGACCACACTGTTTCACACAAGTAATGGCAATTCCTATTAAAAGAGCCTCTTTGCTGGTAACACAAAAATGTAGGGAGGGTTGCTAAACAGCTTGTAAAAGGCTTGTGAAGATAACCTTCCTCCTTCTCTGGCTCTGCTTCTCCGAAACAGCAAAGAGAGAAAAAGTAAAGCCTAAGACTGTAGTCCGTGTCCTCTACACACCCAAACTCCTCATAAAAGCCATTAATGTATAACTGTAAGGCCTCCCAAGGATTGTAAATCCATCTTTTCCAGCCTCTGCTTGTATTGCAGGTTTTCAAAAGTGCATACTGTGTGCCTTCAAGTCGTTTCCAACTTATGGCGACCCTAAAGCAAACCTATTATGGAGTGTTTTTGGCCAGATTTGTTCAGAGGAGGTTTGCCATTGCCTTGCCCTGAGGCTGAGAGAGTGTGACATGCCCAAAGTGACCCAGCGGGTTTCATGACCAAGCCGGGAATGGAACTCTGGTCTCCAAAGTCATAGCCCAACACTCAAACCTCTATGCCATAATGGTGTCTTTATTAAGTACCCCTCAGTTTTATTAAACACCCCACACTTGATCAGTTTTTCCTCTTTTCTTCAATCACGCCCCTGTTTTCTTCTTCTTCTTCCATTTCCCTCTTTTGTCTCCTATTTTGTCAATAATCTGTTTAAAACTTGGTCATAGCCACAGGTGAACTGTTTACAGTAGCCTTCACATCTAATTGAAGGGAGGGGGATCCTTAGTGCATTATTTATTCAGGTAAAATCTAAACAAACATTGATTTGCAGGTTTGAACAGCACTGTCTGTTTCAGCTCAGTTTGTGGTTTTTCGTTTGAGAATTGCACCGAAAGGGATTCTTCTTGATGTGGCTTAAATTATAAATTTTGTTGAGTTTGCTACTGTTCTGTTGTTGAATATTAATAATAATCTTTTTGGTGGTCCTGTATTCCTGGGGGAAGAATGGGATGATTGCTGAACTTTAGCTGCCATCGTGTGGCACTTTCTGATAGTGCAATTTATAAAAATTGTGTGCTCTACAATTTACCTTGGGTAGAATTCTAGGTATATATATATATATATATATATATATATATATATATATATACTCTCACACACACACACATATAGGTATATATGTCTAGGATTACTTATCTATATCAAAACTCTTTACAGTTTCTTTTATACAATCTATTTTATTCCATTGGCATCAGTTTCACTGCATAGTAGAATCTCACTGAATACTGGAATAATTTATTTCAAACTTGCCTATGTTGTTAGAAGCTAAGGCATCTTCAGAGTGCATATGCTGAGATGATATTAGTGTAAATAATTTATTTTACAAAGTACTCATAGGGTTATCTAAGTTAAAAGAAGCAAACTTCCTGCTTACTCATTGCTTACTTATGTGAATAGGTAAACAGTGTGACGTAAGAAGAGCCACTTGGGATCAGGCCAAAATCTTATCTAGTCCATCATTTTCTCCCAGAGTGGAAGCAGCACTGTCCCACTCATGTTTCTGAGCAACTCATATTCAAAGGCATACTGCATCTGATGCAGGCTGTATGGTACAATCATAAGGAAAAGTGTTTTTGTCCTTGAATTTATCTAATCCCCATTTAACTTTATTCATGTTGCATAACAGAAGAATGTTGTTGTATGCCTCCAAGTTGTTTCCGACTTATGAAGACCCTAAGGTGAACCTATCATCGAGTATTTTTTTTGGTATGTTTCTTCAGAAAGGGTTTGCCATGGCCATCCCCTGAGGCTGAGAGAGTGTGACTTGGCCACATAACCCAGTGCAGGGGTAGGCAATCTTTCCCCTTTAAGGGCTGAGGGACTTCAGCTCCCAGAAGCCTCAGCCATGTTGGCCAATAGTCCCATGTTGGCTAATAGCTCCTGGGATTCTGGGAGCTGAAGTCCCTCAGCCCTTAAAGGGGAAAGGTTGCCTACCCCTGACCCAGTGGGTTTACATGGCTGAGCCAGGATTTGAACCCTGGTCTCCAGAGTCATAGTCCAACACGCTCAAACCACTAAGCCAGGCTGGCTCAAGTGTTCTCCAAAATAGGGTATGTTCTTTGTTGTTTTGGTGTATTCAAAGGCAAATTAAAATCTGGACCGCCTGGTTCTCTTGAAGTGTTTTTACTAGTTATTGTACTTACACTATTACCCTTGGTTAATAGTACAATGAATCAATTTCCTCTGAGAAATTGAGAAATAGTACATTTTAGTCTGTGGAGACAGCTGAGTATTTGCCTCCAAGTTGTTTGCTGTATAGGCTACTTGATGTTCTTCCTAGTCACTATCCTTTCATCTCTGCTTTTTCTTGATTGCGCATCTGGCATAGACTGTATCCGTACTGCAGAAATAACCCAGTTTCACACCACTTTAATGGCCATGGCACCATGCTATGGAATTCTGGGAATTGTAGTTTGTTGTGGCACCAGAGCATTCTGATAAGAAAGAGTTAAATATCTCACAAGACTACATATCCCAGATTTCCATAGCATGGCAAATAAAGTGGATTATTTCTGCAGTCTGGATGTAGGCATAGATCTCTCTATGTAGCCTATGGATTTTTGTGATAACCCAGTGAAATTTTTATTATTTTATTTATATCCCACCTTTTTTCTACTCCACTCTGGTGCCACAAGCAACTACAATTCCCAGAATCCCATAACATTGAGCCAGTACAGTTAAAGTGATATCAAACCAGATTATTTCTGAAATGTGGATGAAGCAAGAGAGAGTGGTGGGATGGTGAGAAGGGCCTCTCTGGATGATCTTAGTACTCGAATTGGCTCATAAAAGAGATTGTTGATGCTGTTGTGTACTTTTGAATCGTTTCTGACTTATGTCAACCCTAAGGCCCAACCCCTTAGCTATGAGAGATAGCTGTCATAGAGGAACTATGATAACAGGACACATGTGGTTAGGCATATAGCGTAACATCAAAAGGAACAGTATTAAAAAGGTAATGGATTTATTAAAGGAAATTTGCATTCCTTGGCAATCAAACATGAAGGAGAAAAGGATACTTCAAAGGGAAAATAGATGAATGCCAGGCATGACTATCGGAAATACATAAAAGGGAGGAAATGGGCCCTATATGGTTTGGGTCCCGGTTGTTTAAGGGACTGTACTGGGCAAGCCAGATGCTTTCAGCCTCAGGATAAGGAAATGTCAAACCTCCTCTGAGCAAACCATGCCAAGAAAACCCCATGATAGGTTCGTCTTAAGATTGCCATAATTCGGAAATGACTTGAAGGCACACAACACACAAACACACACCACTGGATGACCTTGGGTGAGTCACACTGTCTCAGCCTCAGGGAAGGCAATAGCAAGCCTCCTCTGAGCAAATATTGCCAAGAAAACCCCATGATAGGTTCACCTTAGGATTGCTGTAAATTGGAAATGACTTGAAGGCACACAAGAACAAACTTTGGTTGGACCATAGTCTTTTCCAGAGAATATAGAAGCATTTTCTTTGCAAATAATAATAATAATAATAATAATAATAATAATAATAATAGAAAAACCCAAATGACTTTCTGCTATAAATGTACTTTGCATCATCTTTTAAGTTTTGATCTTTAGACAGCAAACTTTCAAAGAACCCAGGTAGGAGGTATTTTCTATTTTTTTTTTCCTGAACAGGAAGGGCCAAGCTTATAATATATTCATATTTTCTCTATTTTCTGCAGAACTGACAGGGTTGCCTATTGCATACTACAACAATAAGTTCTGTCAAGAAAGAGAACCCTGTGGAACCAGGTTCTAAACAGTCAGCGGAAAAGAGCCTTTGTGATTTAAAAGGTACAGCTACGAGGAAGGCATAGAAACTGCCTCGCCTATTTAAGCTGGAAAGGAGGAGCCACAGATTGCAAAAGTGCTGGGTTTCACCCTGCCAAGTGCCAGCTGCTTCCTTCTGTACACCACACCTATTTTATCAGGGACACTTAATGGAATACTAAAGTGAAAGCCAGCATGTTAGCAGGAAACAGCAAAGTCCTCTCAAATGTGGATGGTACGTGCTGCTCTTCAGAACTCACCAATGCTGAGACTGTGTATCTTCACCTGCTTCTTGGCAGTAAAAGCAGGTAAGGTTGCCATTTAAAAGTTCCTTGTACATTTTGAACCTTTAAAGGGAGTAGACTGTCTGCTGTGTACTATGATCAGTAGAAATGAATATCATAAAGCTAAAGATATCTTTCACAATCTGTACAAAAATATGTAGAGGATGATTTTTCAGTATGAAAACAGTGGCTATAAAAAACTTGGTGAGTGGTGTATAGAAAGTCAATACCTGGCAACCCAGTTAAAAATATATTATCCTAACAATTGGACAAACTGGAAAGACAATACAGGACTGAACTCCCCAGTGGTTTTAGTGTAGAAAAGTTTATTATATTCATCTGATCTAAGATTTATAACTTATTTTATTTATATCCCACCTTTCTCCCAAAATGGGATAGACTAATTCAAAGCATATGTACTCAAAAATCAGATCAACTGAATGCAATGGGATCTATTCTCACGAAAAGTGTGTGCAGGCTCCTAAATATGTTAGTTATACAGGAATAGTAATTATTGACTTATTACATGAAATCTTCAGACAATTAATATATTATGTGTATAAAAATAAATGCCCGGTGCTAAACTCAAAGATAACTGAAGACCAATGGAAGATTTTCTGTTATGAGGCTGAAGTTATGTACAGTTATAAAGGCATATATTTGTTATATTTTTTTTATTCTGCCCAGTAGTAAATATTGTCCATGCAGAATGCAAAAGCAAATAGAATAAATAGTGCAATGAGAAGCAGCCAGTAAAAACAAACAGCACATATAAGTGATAAAACAGGTTACAGTTGCAGTTCAAACAGTTAAAACTTGCAAAGTTACACTAACTTTATTCTATGTATCCAAATATATTTTGCTGCTTTTAACTAGTAAATTATACAGTGAGTATTTTTAAATATCTAGGCATTATGCTTGATGGGACTTAAACACTTTATGACAGGAAGGGAGGGGAAAAGGTCTGAAGTCTAACGGTGAAAATAACAGTTCTAGTTTGAAAAAAAAAATGTAGCCTTGCTGGTAAAAAGAATAGCACAACATAGATGGATAAGAATGCTCAATGTGACAGAGTTCACTTGTTGACATACTGTATCAGGGTTGATTTGATATAAACCAAATGGCATCAAATCATGATTTAAATCACTTCTCTGAAGAATGCAAATTTAATAATTTCAATCACAGTTTTATTCACTAGTGAGTAAGATTCTACCTAATCATTATTTTTAATAGACTAGAAATACAGGATTGTTTAACTGAACCTTAACACATATGCAGAGATTTTTTTTAAATGAGAAGGTAGGTACATTCTAACCAGTTACTATGAATTGTTTTCAAATTAATCTCATTAAAAAACGAGATCCCTTACATTTATATCCAGACTACCACTCCTTATTTGGATCTCTCCATCTCTCCAAATTCTCTCTTCGTTGACCATATCTATCTGTGCACTCTTAAGAGACAGAGAACACACGTCATATGACTATGTGCAGAAAAGGACTGATCAGGTTATATCCAGTCTCAATAAAATGCTGCTAACATATTCATAGAATACAGTTAGAAGTGATATAATTAGTATTCATGACAATTTCTTTGAGCTAATCTCTTACCTATTCGTTTTTGAAAAAAATTGAAATTGATATAAATTTGAATTAAGATCTCTATATTTATTTTTTAAAAGCCATTAATTTTTATCAACCATGGATAGTATTTATAAATCCTTTTTAGATACCTAAGAAGAAGAAGAAGAAGAAGAAGAAAACATTTTATAATGGTGATATCCAAGAAATTATTTTGGAAAATATGGCAATTGCAATGAAAGCCAATAGATCTGGCCCTAGGACAACTATCTTGTCAACTACATAACATAACATGTTGGGTGACCTGAGCAAGTTTCTAATCTTTAGCCTAACCTACTTGGCAGACTTATTTTGAGGCTAAAACAAGATAATTCTTGTGAAAGCTTCCCTAGCTACCTTTAAGAAATTAATATAATCAAACTGACAAAGTCTTTCTTTTCTCATATTTCAGATATAGGACAAGAATGCCCTAAATTTACTGGTTTAAGTATAGCTAATGCTATCATTGGTACAAATCTGAAAGTGCAAATACTTCTGTATACAAGAAGAAATCAAAACTGTGCTGAGAGTTTCAGTGACCATAATGACTACAATCTAACAGCATCTATACATCTAAATGTGACCAAGAAAACAATAATTGTTATCCATGGCTACAGACCCACAGGATCTCCACCAGTGTGGATTGACAAAATTAAAGATCTTCTGCTCGAAAGAGAAGATGTCAACATCATAATAGTGGATTGGAATCGGGGTGCCACAACAATGAATTATCCTAGTGCTGTTTCAAATGCCAAGAAATTGGTAGTTATCTTGAAAAACATGATTGACCAAATGCTGGTAAGGACCATAATATACATCACTATATTGAAGAACATAAGAGCATTTCTGTTATGCCATGTAACCTTATGTATTTTCTTCTAGTAGTAAAATCACTTTGGTTAGGTCTTGGGAGATGTGGATATGGAGGGCTGACTGTAATTAATTAGTAGGTAATACTGACAATAAGTTACTTTGAAAAAGCTACAAGTACTTTAGCACTTTAAAAAATAATGTTCCTAGCTCTGATTCTACCCATGTATATTTCCTGACAGGAAAATGGAGCATCTCTTGATTCTGTTTATATGATTGGAGTGAGCCTTGGTGCTCATGTAGCAGGATTTGTTGGAAAGGCATACAATGGCAAAATTGGGAGAATTACAGGTAAGAACAGATGCCACCCCCAACCTAATTCCATAAATAGAGGTTGACTGGATTGGTAGTTAATACAGAGAACTTAAGCGGACAAGCTTGAGGAGGTGCAGGGCAATCCTCAGTCTCCACATAATTGTGTCCTCCAACTCTTCACTTGTCCGCATATGTTCCACAGGTGCCCATTTATTACCCACCCAA